AAGGGGGAGAGGTGGGTGGTAGTTGTGGGAGTTCAATCGGGTCCTCCTGCCCCAACAACAGCCCTTGTGTTTCCTCGTGTCCTTTCTTGTTACCAGTGTTTGCTGTTTCAGTTGCCTAGAACTAGCACAGCTTTGTAAGATACTGTCCCCTTGTTAAGGAATTTACCACAACTTGTGTTATTTTGTTCTTAATAAAGTGTTTTCTTTTCGAGACTCATATGCTAGAGTTGTCATATTTGGGTTATATGGGCTATAACATGTATTTGGATTTAGATTTTAAACCCACTTGTTGTGTGATTAGGTTTGGTTGTGGGCAGTAGGCAGCCTTCTGAAGAAAACCTCTTGATCATCTAAAGCCATTCTCTGCCAAACTACTTTCAAGTTACAGAATGTGAATTGGTGGGGATTATGTTGTCGTTCACTACTAAACTGCATGTTTGGCCTTGCTGCAGCAGTTGGTGTCTGTTTCTAACAGGCAACAGTTGGTTCCTTCCCAGCCAGCTCCAGGCCTAGCGCTCGCTCCATAGCGCTTGGCAGCACAGGAGCTGAAGAGGTAGCTCTTCCTGAGGAGAGGTAGCACAGGAACCTGGATATTTCATTCTTTCAAATATACATGAAATGTATGGAAAAACAAGCAAACTGGCCTGTCTCCCTCCTGTCTGCGCATGCACTTGGTGTTCTAGGCCTCGGTGTCCCCAGGAGTACACAGCGAGGTGGTTGTGGGCACTCCTTTGTACAAAAGCAGAACCATTTAATCATCTGTTACCGAGCCCAAGGAGGTTAAAAACAAGCTGCGCCCACCCCAGTCTCCATGTGGCCACAGTGTCACTTAGAGGGGAGGAGGAGGGAGCTTTGGGCTTGGAGTAAAGTTCAAGCATGTCCAGAATTTCGTACAGTTCTAGTGAAGAGGTCGTAAGTAAATGTGAAACTGTTTCTTTAATTGAAATTGTTAAAGCTAAATGCCCCTTGACTCTGGACGTCTAGCTATGAACTACAGCGATATCTTTGATGTCATCAAGTGTATTAGTATTCTTCTCCAAACGTAAATCCTGCATTAATTTGGAAAGCGTTTCTTCTGCGTCGCCTGAGGCAGTCAATTCCCCAACCCCTTCTGCTGATGCAGGTATCTCAGTAGGCTGAAGAATGGTGACTCCGTGGCCTCTGTTGCTAAAAATGTGATTATTTTTCATCTTCAGTTTGGGGAGTGGAACAACCTGTCAGGGAATCCCGAAGGATGAACATTGAAAGACACATGGCAGTACTAAACAGAGGTGGGAAGAGAATGTAGTTGTTATATCCAGACAGTATTTGCTTTGGCCCCTGAAACTTCTTAGCCCAGTTATATTGAAAATGCAAAACTGCACTGTTCAGTTTTAAAGAGAATATACTTAATTTCAATATTAGTCCTACAGCTCTTAAATACAATCCAACATCTGTTAAAACTTTCACCTTAACAGCTGTTGTCTTCTCCAAGTTTAGACAACATTTCAATAGGAAGTAGTGTAAGGTGAGCAGAGAACAGAGCTTAAGTGAGAGCCCTGGAGCAACAGGTTATTTTATACAAAGCAATAGGGGAGCTTTTACTGCCCTGCAAAAAAAGTAAATGTTGTGTATTTTGAGGAGCTCTGCAGAAACAGCACATTCAGTGACCAGAAAACATGCCTTAGACTGCCCCTCTGGTGCTGGCAAGCAGAAGAGCCCCTCTCTTGATGGCATGCAAGTCACTTGCTTTTCTCTGCTTCTCCCAGGGATTTTCCAGGACGTGTATGATGTGCTAAGACTTTAGCTGAAGAGTTTTACTGGGGTACTTCAATGTTAATTTAGAATAAGCTCCATGTTTCTCAGGTCAAATTACAAAAATGATTCTGAATTGTAACTGTAAAGCTATCTCTTCTTACACAAAAAGACCATAAATTGTTACCTTAATATTAATGCCACCCAGGCTACGAGGTGAAGTCTCACTGGCTCTGGTATTATTGCAGTGATGAATTTTGTTGCCTTCTAAGAGGGCTGTGCTCCCTGGGTACAGCTCAACACCAGCACCCTGCTCATTAAACAAAGAGATTAAATCCAATTTAATGTTGCTTCTAAGGACTATTTAAAAATAATCCATTATGCAGAGTACAGGTGAGTGCAATAGCATCCTGAAATTCTGTAGGTCGTGTTCTTATATTGTAAGTTGACGTTGAGAAGTAAAGCTTTTAAGAGCACAGTTCTGCAAACTGCTCAGATTGCAGCCTGCAGAGGGGAAAGGTGACATTGGCTATTTAGCATCTAAAAGCTACAGTTTCAGAGATAATAATATGTTAAACTCCAGTGCACAGATAGTGTCAAGCATGAAAATACTGCTTAGCAGCATTCAGTCTGTTTTTAATAGGCAATTCATCAGGGCAAGTTAAGTGGGAAAGCAATAATCTTTGGCAACACTTTCCCTGCTAGAAATGAATATAGCAGTCTGAACAGGGATTGATGTGCTAATGAAGAGCTTAAACAGCCTCGCTACAGAGACTGAAAATTAACTTGAAATTACATGTACGTTTTCACAGTAAAATCTCAGCTTGAGATGAGTTTACTTTGTTGGTAAATTGATCTGTTATTTCAAGAACCCACCTGGCTAGAACTTTCACCTTTCTCATACAACAAATTTAATTACTTGAACTTCAAGAATGAAGTACCTGAGCTCCAGTAATCTCGCTGTCTGTCACGGTCAGAGAGGCCCCTGTGAGCACGCAGACTCCCGTTCCTTCACACTTCAACACGCAATTTGCTATTGTCATGTGGCCAGATTCAACGACCACGATGCCATCAACTGTGCCCTGCTGTACCAGTGTAAGGTGCATTAATTTTATATCTTGAGCTTTGGATACCACAAGAGTTAATAGTATCAGAAAAAAAAAATCTATGAAGGATAATACTTGGACAAGTATGCTTAAATTGATTTCTTAAATTGTTAGTTTACTTTAAAACTTTAAACTTATTTATTAAAAATCCAGTTAAAAATTACAAATTAATCCAGTTAAAAGCCCTGTAAGTATATTTTTTCCTTGACCTTTTGCTGAGTGTTACTGATAGGACTGCTTTGGAGATAAATTAAGAAGAACACAATACTAACCTTTAATAATAATGTCTTCAGTTAACATGGATAAGTTTACAGCCTTATATTCTCCTGGAAAAATCATGACGGTGTCTCCACTGTAACAGCTTTCTAAAGCCGCATTCAAATTCTCATGATGTTGAAGTGCAGCATCCAGAGAAAAGTTCTTAATCTGTACAGGAAAGAGAGAACACAATTTTCTAGATTTGAGCAAATTCAGAACAAAACAGTGTTGCACCTCAAGTGCCAACTGATCTTGGTTTTGTATAGCAGAGCTTAGCTGACTCCTCTACAGTTTGAATAAGGAAAAAGTTTCCCTTACCATTTCAGCTGTCATAGTTTTAGCTACAGTATGAGTTACAGTTTTCCTATCATCTCTGTACCCTTTCCTGCGCCTTAGTATCCTTGGGGTCAGTGGTCCATGGGCTCTGAAAATTAGAAGAAATCTATGTACTACAGTTAACTTTTAAGCAACACATTTCAATGCATATGAAAAATGACTTAAAGTTATGCTAAATTTATTGCCTTGAGCAGAAATGTGCCCAATGTCTCATGTGCAACCGCTCCATCAATTCAGAAAATACCACAAACAAACAGGGAGGTGGATTGATTAAGATTTTAATTATACTCATTTTACACAGGACTGCTGCTTCATTTACTGTGTGGACAAAGCTTCCAATAAGTGGCATTCTTGAAGGTGTTTTCCGAATATATTTATCTTCCACCTTTCCTTCCCTCTCTTTGCAGACCTGATCCATTTTGGGACTTTGTGATGAGAAAGAATTTGAGGATTTATAATCCAAACTCTCAATGTGGGAACTGTATTAGAGCAGAAAACTTCTGGGAGAAATTCCCAGTGATGCAATATTTTCCAAGGCAGTACTATAAACTTTTATGTATATGTATATGTATTTTTAATCTTTCAGTGACTCAGAAATGTGGCAGTATCTGAACTATGAGCTTTGCTAGTACAATATAAGCATCTGTAGTGGGCGGAAGGGTAGAATGTGACATTCAAAGTTCTACTACCAGAAGAAAAGACTATCTGAGATAAATTTAAGAAATGGGAGAAAAAGAATCTGTAAATACCAGGTGCTGATAAGAGCTCACTAGTCTCAGGACAAACAAAGACTGTGCATGTAAAAGTTAGAATTAAAACAGAGCAAGTTATCTAAAAATACAAGGACAAATTATGATAAAAAGCATAAAATATTTACTCTTCATTATACTGCGCCTGATACCAAAGAGATTTTTTTTTTGCTCAATATGTTTCAGCCCAACTCCTCCTCTTAAGCTGTATTTCTTGTCATGAGGGCTTCTGGTCCATAATCACTCTAGTCAAAATTAAGGGGCTTATGCTACCTCAGGAAAAAAGAACTTTCTCCCTGAGACGGACAGAGTTTTTCATGTGATTCTAGACAGAAGATTTAAGCCAGCTTCACATATTAATTGTATGCCCTTTACATTCTGTGCGTTATGCTTAAGGCATCTGCAGCTTAGTCTGTGGAGACGCAGGCATCAAAAACTACGGTTTCAAAGTAGTTACACATTGCTAAATGACCTGGAAATCAATCTCCAGGCTTCTCCAGTACACAATCCAAAGCCATCTTTTTTTTTTTTTTTCCACCCAACATTGTTGACTTTAATTCTACTTCTAAAGTGGTTACAGTAGCACTTTGCTCCTTAAAAGTAAGCGTTGGAATAATTCAGTCATTAGTTTTCATAAAAAAACTTACATACTTTCATCATAACACTATTAAAAGATCAGGCTAAAATATTAAATATACTTAGTGATGGAGTGTAAACATTTATTTATAATAAAATGCATTAAATGAGCATTTATTAATACTTCAATTGTGGATAAAGCAAGTGCCACTTAGCCTCTGCATTAAAAAAGCTGGAGTCCAATTAAAAAATGTAACTCTTTAATGGACACCGGGATGAATAAAACACAGTTTGCTCTGGAAGTGCATAAAGAGCTGGATTAAATTTCGTACCTTTAAACTGTGCAAGCTCACAGTGCGCAGCTGCCTGTTTCCACTCTTTAGCCTCCCAGAACCTTACCTGGTAAGCTCAACCCTGCTGACTGACACTGTTGCAAACAATTTCAGTAGTTGCGTGAAAAAGAGTGACTGATAGATAGATCCAGGTTGCTTCCTTAGGAGGAGGCCCAAAAATAGCCAGCCTATGATCAAGCCTGGTCCAAGTACTGCAATGCAGTATGGCAGCTGCTGGAACTGTAGCAGCGCTTTTTTACATTTACATCTTTAACATTTCTAGTCTCTAAATGTTTGACTCTGCAATTTTAACCTTATTTAATTTTGCTCACTTATGCAGTGTGAATACACACACCTCCCCTCTTGGAATGTAATTTAGTTCTGAAACTGCCAATGAATCACAATACTCCTGTCCTTATTCCAACAAGAAAAGAGAGATTCAAATTTTGCCTATTCAACAGCTGTATAGGAAAGGGCAATACCACACTTCACTTCTCTGTAATAACGCCATAAACAACATATACAAACAACAAATATTAGACTTCTACATTTTGCTACTTGTTAACAAAAAAAAAAAGTTCTGAAGATAGAAAGCAACAAGCACTCCTTGGAATAGATTTTGTTTGGAATTTTCAAGTAGCTGATAACTTGAGGTTACCTGAGGCGCAGGTCCTCCCAGATCTTCAGCAATCCACACAGCATTACTAGTTCATAGTACTTTTTCCAGCACTCCACAACTTCTTCTTCTGTGGGTTCTTCTTCAATGTTACTTTGATACTGAATCAATTCCAAACGCAAAATTTTATACTTCTCCAGATGTTTCTTGAAACGGTGACCCAGTGGAGCAGGAATACTTCCATTCTGAATATCACACCAGCTTTAAAAAGCAAGAAGTAAACAGCAGGAACTATACATATTTTGGTAAGATACATCTTTTGATAAGATACTTACAGTTTAATTCTTTCTTCTACCAGAGCTGCATATGTCTCACAACTTTCATCAGCATCCCAGTCCCTCCAAATGAAATCATAAAAGAATCTGTAGGATATATTCACATGAAAATACGTAAGTGAACATAGCGCCAGTATTTTTTTTTTTGCTGACAAGCTAATTGTAACTTTCCACTAAATTATTCTCAAGCCACAAAAAGTGGGACTCAGTATATACAACACTGCAATCTAGTTTCCTGCAATATAAACCTGCTTAATTCTGCATCTCTATTTCTCTTGTCTCTGTTTTTGCCTGTTTTAAGTACCTAAAGAGAGAAAATTTCCACAACATGTTTTCAAAGTTACATAGCTGACAAAAAGGGTAAGACTAAGTAAGTACTAACAAAATTGTTCTCCATGGAAATGGGCATGTAGGTCATAGCACATTTCCACTGTATTGTTACTTACCTTCAATACCACCCAATCTTTGGGGTGAAGCAAGATGTGTTTGGAATACACAAGAGAAAAATACAACCACCAAATGCTTTCCCACTATCTTCCAAACACGTTGTTGTGAACTTTCAGACGATCCTCCAAAGGTAACAAAAAATAAATTCTGGTCCACATGAAGAACAGGCAGCTGTCAGACAGGATAGTTTTCTTCTACACATCCACGTATTATATAGCACCCAGAAATAAAGCTGGCGTGAAAACAAGATCTGCTGGGCAATCTCAAAATTTTTTATTTGTACCTACAGAAGTCTCACAAAGATGTTTTTCTCTTCACAGACGCTTGATGCTTAATGCTGCATTTTCATAAAGGAATCTTGAAACTTAAACATATCAGAAGCAGCAGACTGAGGAGAAACTGCCTTTCTTTAAATTATTTTTGCAAAGCTGGGTTTCCGTTTCTTTAACTAAAAGACTCCTCTCGTAGTCTTTTCGTTACAAATGGAAAAGGGAGAAAGAAGATAAGGCAATTCCAAGATCTTTTGTCTTCAAAAGATCTCCTTAGAGAACTATAATGCATCTGATTTAAAGGAGTAAGTAAGGATCTACCTTTAAAAATGAAAAATAAAAGCAAGTAAGAAATCCCAGACCACTTGTGAGTTATGTCTCAAAAGGGACAAGAACAACCCCTAATTAATAAGCTAATTTTTGTGATTGTCTAGTTTGTAACCTGAATCCTGAAAAGAGAGAGCCTTAAAACACCCACCCACACATACACACACCCAAACTATTTGGATCATTGGGGACAACTGATGTTGGGAAAACAGATGAGCAGTAGCAGCAGTGTTTACTGCAGTGTTAGCAGTGTATGACCTTTTACAGCTGCAGTAAAATTCCTTAGTGCTAATACAGCCATTTAGATTGGCTGGTGGAGCTGACAGGCTCTTTGCATGAATAGCCAGAAACTCTGTGATACTTCTGGAGCGGAATTCCGCTTAGTTCATCCCTTGGGCAAGGCAGCAGGAACAGAAAAGGCGGGGAAGAGGGTGGAGGGGGAAAAAATTAAAAAAATCACACCTCTGTCTGGGTCGGGGGCACTTATTCCAGTGCAGTCTAGAAAGAGTGGTGCATTTTTGTTAGCTTGCTGGTACCAACTGATATTGGGCTGCTCTGCTACAGTGAGAAAGAAGAAAATGAGCAAGTGCTACAGAAAAAGCAGCCTTTGTTATGCTGCACCGACCATAAGGAACAGGCAGAAAATAGACACCGAGATTCTAGCAGTAAGAGACTCACATCTCCATCCTGCATCCTGTAAAATAAGTCCTAGGCACATGACATGTACTTTCTCAAAATACATTTTCAGTTTTTACCACACCTCAGATCCAAGTTTTTTTGGGGGGGTTCCTCTTATGCAATTATAAAACAAAGTAACCTTTCCAATAGTCCTGCTGTAAATGCAGCTCCTTAGTTAATGTTTTATCAGCTATGAACGGTAAAATAGTGCAAAATATACTAAATACCTCACGATATCCAAAGCCTGAGCAATTTCAAACACGGTGTTGTCCTGTCCCTCTACAGGGTAGATTTCCAGCAAAGGGACGCAATGGTCCAACTCCTCCAAAATATTATCTACCAATTCTCTTGGCATATTCGCAATATTAGAAGCAAATGGTTCAACGACAGATACAGAGGCTTTTATCTGAGATGATGAACTCTGAGGTGGTTTCCAGGTAACCTAAATTAAAGAAAAGGCTACATATATCAGTTTCAGTACGTCTTTATATTAGTATCATGATACACATAAAAAGCATGATAAAAGTAGGGCTTTTTGTATGAGCTTGCAATTCAACTCAGCAGTTTTTTTTTTAACGCAATTCCTGAAAGTTTCCCATACAAAAGTGGTCTGCAATATTAAACTAACAGTCACTATTTGTGCAAATAGCATCTTATATATTCTGCTGGGAAAGAATTAAAAGAAGATATGAGTCATTTGCAAGCTATGTACAGCGTACATTAAAAATAAGGCTATCAGGTAGCTACAGAAACCAGTGTCTACAAGCAGGCACCAAAAGCACATTTAAGCTGTCCCAAAAGTTGTAATTGTATTTTAAAGGATGGTTATTTTACCCACTGCTTGTGACTCAAAGTTATGAAAACAATAGAAATAGATTATTTAGCTTTTCTACACTAAATAACTTGTCTTAGTTGCTTCCATTTTTGATGAAGCTTCATTTTTGGAATAAAACTTTCCAGGTTCAGTCTCTATGATGGTGATCTTCACAAAAGTCTGAATGGAAATTCTCCAACAAAATCCTAAGCAGGAAGAGTCACAGTAAAATTAAATATGTACTGAGATTTGTTTTGTTTTTCAAAAGATGCTCCAAGTAAATGATCCTGGTCAGTAAAGTTCAGTAAAGTTTAGTCAGAAGCATGGTACATCCAGAGCTATATGGCTGACTATGAGGAAAACCGTCAGTAAGGAGAACTTAAAAATCTGTACAGGTAAGTAAGTAAGCAAAAAGAGTTGAACATATAGTGACTGCAAAGATACAATGTGTATGAAAACGGTCATATTACTTCTGCATATCATAATGGAAAGCTTACTTCTAAAATACATCTAATTCTCATGGCCATCATTTTTATAGTGTGAAAAAAAATGGGAGAATGTTCAGTGAGACCACGGAATATTCAAGGCCAAAATATTTCTAATTAAAAGACTTCAATCAATTTATCTTATCTAAGAGAAGACTGTGAACTTGATCCTGAGTTGCAAGTATTTACTTACTAGAAGTCATAAAAGCTTAGTTTTCTTTCTAAAGAAAAAAAAATCTACTTCCATCATAACATGCTATACTTAGTAATGCTCATTCTATCTCACAGAAAGATAACCTCCTTCACTTCAAGAGACCCTGGGTATAATTCTGTTAGACTAAATATATTGTTTATTATAGGTCACTAACCTACTGATTCTACAATTAGTTTGCATGAATCATCAAATGCATCAGAGCTCAAGATAAGAGACAGCCAGAGAAGTTACCTCAACAAGTATTCCAACAGAAGGTACAACTAAATCTTCTGAATTAACGAAGAATAGGTCTGGATTAGCCTTCCAGATTCCAAGCCAGTTTTCTTTCATCTTCAGTTTTTCCAAAAGGTATTTGCTCATTGCATCGCCAGCCTCCTCTGCCTATTTTAAGAATTAAGGACAAAAGATCTATGTTACCTCTACATTACCTATGAAAAGCTAATAGACAAAGGTCAAAAGAAAATAAAAATCTGTATTGAGATGAGATTTATCACGTTAACACAACATGAATTGCAGACTTATTCCAGAATTGAATATTCCAAAATTACTTATGTATTTCTGTGCCATTTTGTGCCACTAATTATTTCTTCAAAGCTGCCATTTATTGAACATCTCAAACTCCACAAGCTCCAGGAAGTGTGAGAAAGTATAGGAAGTTGTCATATACAAAGTCAGAAATGATAATTTACTTGGGGTAACGATTCTGACACTATGCAGTACCACAATCTGAAAGTATTTTCCAACCGAGAGTGGCACAACCACAAAGCTGGCTGCTCGCTACCTGTCCATGTTGTAGAGTGGAAATCTTCCTGTCAGCTTCAAACCAGGAGGATTTTTCTTTATCTTTGAAAAAATAGTTAGCTCATTTCCCTTTTCCTTCTTAGGTGCTATATTCTCATGCTCTATGATATTGACTGGGTTTTGATTTGAAATCAGGCAAACAATAATAGCTGCTACCAGTATACTTCATTTTTTTTCTGGTTTTTATTATGACATTCATAGAACTGACTACATAGTTCTTATGGCTTACCTAATGAACTACATTGAATCTGTCTGTTGTTGTTGACCATACAAAGCACTTCACAGAGAACTAGCATTGTGATTCCCTAAATATCCCGAATACATAACAAAACCAGACACCGTTAATGGCGTATGAGTGACATAAGGCGTGTGACATGGTATTTCCAGCGTCAGTGGCCAGGCCCTTCCTGACACGCAGAGCTGTCACCCAAACCCCACTGCCGGCCGAAGCAGCCCGTCTTTAGCAGGCAGCACCCTCCGGAGCGTCAATCCCTGCGCGGCGGGCGCTGCAGCACGCGCCCCTCGCTCGCGTTTCGGCTCTCGCCCCTTCCCGCAGGCAGCAGCGGTGCTTCCCCTCGCGCCGCTGCGGCGCTCACCTTGCAGCCGCGCAGCAGCGTGTCGCAGTAGAGCGCCACCATGTCGCGCTTGGGCACGGCGTCCAGGTGCGGCGGGCACTGCGGCGGCAGCGGGGCCGCTTCGCCGCCCTCCTCGCTC